AGACATGATAAAATGAAAAGAAAAAAGGCAAAAGGAGTACGACATTGGTACTAGTTTGTTTCAACGAAACTCAGCCATTTCAAAAGAAACGACTCGTGTCGATCAACTAGTAATCGCACACGTCGCAAACGAAAAAATTGGCCAAGGTGATCATTTTTTCTTTTGTAGAATTCGCTCCATACAAATATATCATTATAAAAAGGTGAAGATCCAAGATCTGTTAAATGCATTGTTTTCAGTCTCCTTTGGACGTACTTTTTAACATAGAATTCTAAGGAGAACTCTGAAGTTACTGTGAAAAGATTATGTGCGGAGACGAAAGGACAGCGATACACCAATCTAAGACCCATACGAAATTTCTGGTTCAGTATTTGTTTCTGCGATTCTGGTAACAGAGGATAGAAGGGAAATAACCAAACCAGGTGAGGAAATGTATATACGAAGAAACATTGACGAAGTACTTTAAATGACACAACTCTACCAGACAGTAACCACTTCAGCTTACCTAAGGATCTTTGAATATTCGCGATACATTTATCGACAGTAGGTTTCAAGGATAACTTATCCGTCCATGTGAACCCTAAGTACTTGAATTCTCTGACTAACTCGATTAGTTCACCGCTCATTGTTACATATATTATAGGTCTTTTTACTTGTATATGAAATAATTGTGCCACTGTTTTAGTCACATTTATTGGTTGCTTCCATTTCTTCGAGTACGCGTATATTTCATTGCAGATTCGAGTACTTTCTTTCTCTAGATATTGAATCATTTGAGCTAGTTCCTTCCGAATAGGTGGCTTAATTAAAACACTCAGATCGTCTGCGAAAAGATGACAAGAATGTGCTCCTAAACAGTTTATTAAATCGCAGTGAAAAACTATGAACAAGTATGGACTTAAACTACTACGTACCTTGAGGAAGTCCTATACTTATATTGAACATTGTTGACGTTTTTTCACCAAACGCAACATAGGCCCTCCTATCTTTTAACCAGCTTTCGATTATTTTCAATAACTCGATCGGCATACCAAAACTCAATAATTTCACTAACAGAGCTGCATGCCAAACACGATCATATGCCTTCTGATAGTCTACATAGATCGCGAATGTAGGTATATCGGCTACCATGTTGTTTCTAATCTCTTGATAGATTGATAGTACTCGAGTAGGAAGTAGACATTTTGACCGAAATCCTGATTGCTCTATAGGAACTAATTGATTACTTTCTGCCCATTCTCTAACTCTTATAAGCAAAACTTTTTCAAAGAGTTTTGAATGTGTTGCTAACAGAGAGATTGGACGAGTTTGATCGCACTTGGGAGTACCTGATTTCAGTTTGTTTAAGGTTACGATCTTTGCTACTTTCCATTCATCAGGATATCTACATCCATTCAACCAAATATTAAAGCAATTGGTCAGACATTCTATATAGCTCGGAGGCAGTTTTTTAATCATAAAGTTTGACACTTGGTCAAAACCACTTGATTTTTTGGGTTTTAATGTCTTTATTAATCTTCTAATTTCTTCAACACTAGTAGCTCTCACTGGTTTATTACTATTGGATAATTTAGTTAACAGTTCTTTATATTCCGACTCTACTTTAGCGCCATGTGCATCAACAGAGTCTATTAAAGGTGCTCGAAACTGATCACAATAATGTCGTCTTAGTTCTTCTGTTATTTCTTGATGTGTTGATAGTACTCTGTTATTTGTTGTTAATTTATAGAACGGCAGTGATCTTGTTCTATATATACGAGATAGGTGCCTCCAATATGCTTTATCTTTGTTATCATGAGTTGACTGGATGTCTGACAAAAAACTTTGCCATCGATCTGCTTTATATTTACTTATCAAATTCTTTGATTCTTTAGTCATAACACGCAATAAAACTCTTGTTTTTTCGCATAATATTCCTTTTTTTCTAAGGTGATAGTATTTGTTTCTTATTTTTCTTGTTTCTTTTAATTTCTCGATAATGTTACTTGGTAAAGACGGTCTGTATTTTTCTCTTTCTTTCCAATGAGTCACTCTATTCTTAACAGCCGCGATGAAGCGAATGTATTGTTTATACCATTCGTCTACGCTGTTATTATTTCTTTGTTCTTTCTCCCAAAATGACTGGAATAAAACTAAAACTGCTTCGAATGCCTTCCAATTTGTATGAGGAAACATACTATTAGTAGGAAAAGATACATTTTCACATGAAAGTAACGTCGGCCAATGATCACTAGTGCCTAGATTTAATGTCTGACACGAAATATCAATGCTATTTGAAAATGATAAATCTATATTACGTAGAGAGCGTTTTGATGTGTGGGAAGTTAATGGTATGTACTTAAGACTATTTTCATCAATCCATTCCTTCACGATCGCACCTCTTTTATCTGTAAATGGACTACTCCATTCCTTCACTGTAGCGTTAAAATCACCAGTCAGTATCGTGCCATCAACTATGTAAGGGAGAATATCATCAAGCTCGCGTTGTTGACTACTAGGCCAATAAATACCAATAATACGTAATGGCTCTGATAGGCCTGTTATATCTATAATAACTGTATTTGGTGTTTTGACATTAATACACGTTGCTTTCAAATGCTTTCCTACTTCTATACACACTTCTCCATTTTTATTTGTGCCTTCTTGATAAAACGTGTTAAAATTTGGCACTTGACATGTGCTCAATGTCTCTCCTACTTCTGTAAAAATACAAATAGAAGCTTGTACTTTGTATGCTACATCAATTGCCTCTAAAGCTCGTGTGCCCCAGCCTTGAACATTATAAGACAGAATCTTCAAATTCTCACTTTGATCGTTGAAATTGACGAAACCGATTTTCTCCCACTGATGTAAAACCGAATTCAAGGTCTTATTTGTATACCACTCGTCTAGAAGAGAGGATACTAAATTATAATCCTTTACTGAAAAATTCCATATTCTTAATTGGTGTAACGCTTGTACTTTCGGATTTAAGGTTTGTGATATCGAGGTGGAGGGAAAAAACTCTTTTGCGTGAACATTCAAGCTAGACATACTATTTAGCAAGTTAAAGGTTCTCTGTTGTTGGCATTATAGCAGTTGGTTGAATAATGTTGTTGCTTAATATTTGTGATGGTGCATGCGAAACTTTACGATTAAGTTGAAAACCATCATTTAAACTCATAGCTGCATAGCAAAAACGATTGTAGAATTGCTGTACAATTGGTATTAACGATGCTCTATCATTCTTGTTATAAGTGAGTGATGACGGTATAAATTTTTGAGTGAAGTCTTTCATGGTTTCGATAACATCGAGTAATACCGCTTGGTGTAATTGAGTATCAAGAGTAACTACTTTTAAATCTATTTTGAATTGATCAACTTTTTCTTCTATTCGTTTATTGCTATCTAAGAGTTTCAGCAAATTATTATTGATACTTCCTACTGACATTTCTGTTTCCGGTGCTGTTGTTGTATTAGGTAGACGTGACATAAGACCTTGTACTATGTTTCATTTCGGAGGTTGACTCACAGTATTTGTTGCTAATGCTGGAAAATCTTGTTCTCGGAGTTCGAATGTTGGTGCTTTTTCGTTTGGTAGAATACGATGTAATTTGCCACTATTAATAGCTTCTTCAACGTCTACTTTTAATTGTAGCTTATAGTCACGAATTACATGACATTGATTATCCAGAGAGTGGTGTTTTCCATTACATTGTGCACAATTAGGTTCCTTTTTACAAATGTGCAATGAATTTTCTGTGAGCATCTCAAGGCAGATTCGACATATAGCTGATGAATTACAATGGTTTCTCAAATGACCAATACACCAACAT